TCGCGAGAAAGTCGGAGCCAATCCTATTTGGATCATGTGGAGCCGGAGCAAACTCGTGTCTCATCAAATACAAACACCGGAAAATTCGGTAGGGATTAAAAGCATCTACTCAAGGAGAGTAGAAATAAGTGAACTTTGCGTAGATAATATAGAGATGAGCGGAAAATACAGAGTTGAGCACAATGAAAGATCGGAGTATGATGTGTCGGCAACTACGTTCAAAATGGTTGCTTCCAATTGCGTCATTTATCACAGCGGGAATTAGAAAGGAAGGATGAGAAAAGCATAAAATGAGTCGCTACAGTTAGTCGCTTCATTCTGATGGGGCTAAAAGTGCAGGTATAAACAAGTAAGCGATGTTCTTGAGCCAAAATGAAGTGGTTTTATGCTTGTCAAATGAGGCAGCAAATAAAATATGAATAGTGAATGATTAACTGAGACATACAAAAAGGGGTAGAAAGGGAAGTAATGACAATTGGACGTTTCATAAGTTTCCTGTACCTAGAGACCTCAAGTTCTGGCTCCTCCCACAGGTACCCTGATTCAGCCGGGTTGGAAGTAGAGATAGACTGCGATCAGCAGAAAGCCGAACATGAGAAAGGACAACTTTGGCAGACGATCGTGGTGAATCGAACCGGCGCCGCCGTGGAATTCGCCGGGCAGAAGTTCACAGAAGACGACATAAAAGAAGGTGCCACAGGCAAGGCCCTGAAGCACGGCAGTGGATAAGAGAAGGCCGGGAGACTGATGCTGCTGCATCAGACCCCAGCCGACCAGGACGCCGATCGGAGAGGCGCTGGCAAACACGAGGCAGGCGAGGCCCTTCATGCGCAGATCGTGAAGGCTGCGCTTCTTCGCGGAACCCCGCGAAGTCGACTGACTCGGACCGACAGAACGGTCGCCATGGGGACCGGGCCATGAGGGGAAGACGTTGTGCGAGCTCTTCGCTTCGCCGGTCTCGTCGTCCCCACGAGGCTGGTCGAGAAGCGGCGCCTCAGAGGAGTGACGCTCGCCACCACTCGGCAATCCGAGTTCGGATGGACGGGACTCGAACTCGGCAATATGGCTGTGTCGTCTGGTTTCACTGTTGGCGTGTGGACCCGTCGACGAATGTCCGGGATGACTGTGCACAGTGGCCAGATTCACGCCAATTCCGATCGCCATGATCAACTTGTGCAGAGCCAATGCAGAGAACAGCGTGATCGTGTGTTGTACCGAGTCCTGCAGACCAACTGCTAGGCCCTCGAAGACGGCATGCAATGACATGGCGACTAGCAAGAGAACAACCCGAAAAACCGGGGAATTGGCGACCTCAGGGTTCGCGTTATGGCCATGCTGGTGGTGGTGGTGGCGGTGATGGTGATAGTGTTCCGGGTCGTGGTGGAGATGATGAAGATGCTGATGGTGATCATCATCGTAGGTGGGGTGATCGTGGAAGAAAGAAAAAGTGTGCTGACGATCGTCCGAAAAGTTGGCCGGACTGATGTAGCCAGTGGCGTCCGATTGTCGGAAGGGATTGTAGGCTTGAGATGGGTTTCTGTCGAGGCTGCCGTTGGCCTGGGGACTGACGGGCTCCGGCGAGGGTGGAAAGAAGGGTCGTTGGCGATCTTGTGTCTGGGCGGGCGGTGTTGTCGTCTGGCTGGTCGCCTCGTCCTCGATCAGGCCACGACGACTCATCAGTGAGTTACCACGAGTCGGCCGGAAGACAGAGCGGAAGGTACCGCCCGGCAAGGACAACCGGGCTGGTCCGTCCCGGTCGACTGGCGCCTGTGACGATGGCAGACGAGCCGATCGCCGTAGCAATGCGCGCCATTTACTCTCCACCGCCTGGTCCGACAATTGGGCAATATTCTGGACACGAGCGGTCTGATTTGTACTGCGAGACTCTCGGTGAGAGAGAACCACCTGCTCAACAGAGAGGACAAGAAAGAAGCCGACCAACGAAATGAACGAGGAAAGTGGAAATTCAGTCTCGAATTTCATCTCATTCATGGCCTGATCCATCGCCTCGTTGACGTCCGGCAGAAGGTCCATAAATGCTGAGTAGAAAAGTGGAGGAAACGATGCATCAAAGAATGATGTGGAAAGCTTAAGATTTCAAAATAATCGTACAATTAGATTGTGAAAAAACTCAATTGCCAGTACTTAGAGCTAGGTGACCAAGTTGTTATTCAAGAATTAGTGCTAGCCTCGATGCCTAATCGAGAATCCCACCACAAAATGTGTGTTGGAAGAGGCCTGCTTGCCTTGAATATCGCGTCCGCCCTCTAAATCACTGGTACTCTTGAGCGTGAGTGGAATGTAGTGGTGACATCGCCATGATACTCACAATCAGGCTTAGAATCCCGCAAAGGGTGAGGATTAGAGCAGCCAATGCGAGGTCAAAATTGCAGTCATCTCCGGAAAATATAAGCTTTTGAGATGCAGGGCTGGGTAAAATTAATTGGCATCCTAAAGCCTATTTATTTGAATGTGGGCTGAACTCAACTATCAGCGACATAGAGACTAAGTTCTTCTTTACAAATTATTGAAACTATCGAAAACTAAAAATAGAGGAGAAGATAAAAAGCTTATTTTGAGGTTATTTCGCTTGATGAGCCCACTTCAATTTCGAATAAAGGTGTATACTGAAAAGATTTGAGGGTATATTTCACTGAAAGGCGAAGGTAATCTAATCCTTGCCAAATGGCGTTTGGCTTTACTGATGTATATTCAATGGAATCAAAGTAGATTGCTTTGGGGAAAGTTCGAGTAAATACAAATGGCAGACAATCAAGAGATATCTGCTGTCATCAATTAGTGAGCTCCCTTTTATAGCATCTTTATTGCTCATAGAAGTGGGTTGACCTCGTTGTCGCAACTTGGTCTTATTGTCAGGGAGACTTAGTAGAACGCACCTAATCCGAAGTAGTCTGCCATAGTAGTTGTCATGATTCCCAGCATCGTTCTACCAAGTCGCCCTGACAACAAAGCCAAGTTGCGACAACGAGGTCAACCCACTTGTATAAATCGAAAGGAGACAGCGACCATACCAGGGGCCACAACATCTTGGTCTTCATATCTTTTATTGCTCATCTTCACATGAAATAAAAGTGGCTCGACAAATGTAAGCCAACTTCAATATTCAACCTATTTTGTTTGAGGCGATGAAATAATGGTAGTAAAATTTTCCCAAAATAATGTGAGTAAGCTTCACGTTCCCGTTGAATTCCACATACTCTTGCTTCCTAAAGGTGTTCTCATCCGGGCACGAGTGGACTGCAGTTACGACCTCACCTGGACTTGCTCATCAGCACTCAAAGCGGGACTCGAACCCGGGTCGTGGTAGTACTTCGTGTAGTCGCAAATGCTAAGCACTACGCCACGCTCCCACGAGTCCCGCTGAGAGTGCTGATGAGACTAGTTCAGGTGACGTTGAAACTGTAGTCCGTACTGGATGATAATGGCTTAATGGAAGCAAAGCTATGTGAAATGCAATGCCACAATCAGTCCCTAATAACATTAAACGAACTAGTATAAATACAGCTGTTAAATAGGATCTACTGGTAGTCTAGGTAATCTACTGAAAACTGAAGCTAAGTAATGTGAGTTGTGTTCATCTTAGTTCGTTTAAGGCAGTGATTCCCCAATTGTGCGCCGCGAAATATCGTATAAGTTTCAATTTGAGAAAATGTGCAGTGATTTGCAGGCTCATCCATCACATTAACTATTAAATATTAATTTAATGTTAATAAAGTAAAAAAAATAATGAAGATAGACGAGTTTTATTTATTTTTATCTCTTACTTAGGGTAGAAAGCCATGGAAAAATTTTAATTGAAAAAGGGCGCCGCGATTAGGAAAAGTTTGGGAACCACTGGTTTAAGGTGAAGGACTGGTAGTTGAATTTTCCCACAATAATATGAGCAGAACTGACGTTGCCATTGAATTCCACATAGCCCTGCTTTCACAAAAGGTGTTCTCATCCAAATTGGACTGTAATTTCGATCTCGTTCAGGCCTTATCAACACCACCAGCGAGAGTCGAACCATGACAGTGCCGCGTATATTTGCTAAGGCAATCGACGACATTACCTACCTACTCAATAAGGAAAAAAGTAATTTCGTCGATTGCTATAGCAAAGAGAAGTTTGCTTCATTGACAACCCCAGCACAGAATGTGATATGGAAAATGCCTGACCTTCCTTGAAAGTGTTATCAGCACTGTGACCCAAGGGCACTCGTGATAATGTGGTGAAGTGGTCAACGTGTCGAGATTGTACGCCGAACTATCATGTTTCGACTGCTGCTATGGGTGTTGATAAGACCTGGGCTAGCTCGAAACTGCAGTCCACTCAAGCCGAGATGAGAACACCATTTGGGAAAGCAAGGCTGTGTGAAATTAAATTGAAACGTCAGCTCTACTCATATCATTGTGGGAGAATTCAGCCACCAGTCCTTCATCACCTAAAACGAAATAAAGTGAACACAGCTCATATATCCAATTTACTGGTAGTCTCGAAAGCCTAAACAATAATGAAGCTGAGTATGTCAAGTGATTCTTCTAGTCTCCATTTTTATTTATATAAGGCTACTCTGACTTAATTCAACCAAATTTACTCCATCCCAGTCTACTGGTTAGCAAATCTTTCAATTAAAACTTCAGCTACCGAAGCTGATCTAAAGAATGATTTAGAGAGTATTCACAGAGAAATGAGTAGGCCTGGCTTAATTACTTACCCAGACATTAATGATAGTTTCAAAAATGCATGCATCGAAAACAAATCTCAAACACATAGTTAATAAGTATGTTTAGACATTATCATTCAATTTTGCCACAGTAAAATCATTGGTAGGTTAACAGCATACTCTTAGCTAAGAAAACATGCTACATCCTGCGGGGTTTTTACTTGAGTCTCTAGATCCAACGTTCACTTTTGCTGGCCAAGTTAATATAGTCATTTGAGCGGATAAATTCACTCAATTTCGTAGCATCTCGGGGTCAGCTGAGTTATAAGCGAGAAATGATGGCAAGAGGCCGCTTTAGAGCACAACCAGACAAATCTTCCACATTCGGATGAGGTCACTCTGGGTCAAATTGATGCCATTTCCGTGATGGCAGCATAAGACTAAAGGTTGATGACATTTCCACCATCACGGACAAGCCGTGTGCTCGGGCGTGTGCATGCATATTTCATTCGCATAACCAGTAATGCCGCTTTTATCCTGCTCTGTTAGGCAGAAGTGTGGAGCCCAGAATCAGTTATTGCAAAAAAAGATTCCTTCAGATGACAACCCCCTGTTGCCATAACAACAAATATGTGCAGTGTTTATGCCGAGTATGTTTCGAGCCTATTGGTAGAATTTTGATAATAATCTCCAGTATTTATGAGATATATTACTGGTTGTCTCGAAGCCCTACTTATGAAGTAGAAATGTTCAGTCTGCCCAGGTTGTCTTAAGTGACTTAAAGATTTGTGATTGAGGCATCTCAAGCGACCTAGGGTGACTAAAGTTTCTTACTCAATGAGTTACAGTGACTCAGTATTTTAGCTGAATATCACGATGCCTAGTCGAGCCCCCTCTCAACAGTCAGCTCAACTCCAGACTTGATTTATCCACACAACCAACTGACATGGGATGTACCATTTCATGCGGCCCTCCTCTTCCACACACAGTTCACTACTGATCAGCACAACCTCAGTTTCCATTACCAGACTTGACTCATCCTCTCCGTACCCCACTCTGGTACATGCACTTCGAATGTCAACCAACCACATTTTCGCCAGCTGCCTCTTAGCCTACAAGTGAATCAGTTGTCTCACACAAAACAGAGTCAATCGTACAACGCCAATCAGAGGCCGAGCTTTATATCCCAAAAAATATTTAGTAGAAAGATCAGCCATTTCAAACAATTTCTCCATAGCTTCATCATCTCCGACTCGATGGCGTCTGCTGGCCATCTCTTCATTCACCCACAGCAATGTGGTATCCCAACAGCCCCCAGTTGCAGCGACGTAATCTCTGCCGAGCCAGACCATTCACGCACCGCTTCAGCATGAGCCACTTATCCGTGAGAGATTTATTCGCCTTCAAAAACTGTTAAGCGAAAAGAATATCAATGGATACAATTTTCTTGTCCCTTTGACGAGTTGTAGTTTGCTGTTAAGAGCAACCAAATACAGTCACGATGCTGATTACGCTGCCGTCGAAACGTGTGGGATTGCAATGAATCCACGATCCGAGGCTGGAGCTTATTTAGACTGCAATGGCAAAGGACTCCAAATAGGACGTGTCTGTTTCGGTGACCTGGATAACACACCCAAGTTGCAAATACGAGGTTAAATCACTTCTGTACAGAGAAAATAGACCACAACCACAATCAATGCAACACCATCTTGGTCTTTCGATTGAACTAACAGGTTTTCATTCCACAGTAGCAAAACGATAATGTCCGGACCAATTTCAAGCTGCCACTGATTCCTCAATGCGGCATCTGGTAATTCTAATAAGTGAGTTGTTTTCACCTTATTTCGGTAGTTGAGTTGTCCCACAATGACACGAGTAGAGCCGATAGTTTCCACTGAATTTCGCATAGCCTTGCTTTCCCAAATGATGTCCCCATCCAGGGTTGACTGCAGTTTCCACCTGGCATAAATCTTATCAACACCCCAAGCGGGAGTCGAACCATAACAGTCCAACGTGTAAATTCAACGCGTTGACCAATACGCCACGTTGCCACGAATGCCCTTGGGTCACAGGACGGATGTGAATTTCAAGGAATGTCAGGCACTTTCCATATCACATTCTGTGTTGGGATTTTTGATAAAGCAAACTTATATTTGCTATAGCAATCGACGACTTTTTTCGTGAATGCGTAGGTTTTCGAGACTACCAGTAAATCAGATATATGAGATGAAAACAGCTTTTGGGAAAGCAAGGCTATGTGAAATTCTGTTGAAATTTCAGTTCTACTAATAGCAGTATGGGAAAATTCAACTGCCAGTCCTTCGCCACCTTGAGCGAAATAAGGTGAAAACAACTCATATATCCAATTTACTGGTTGTCTCAAAAATCTACCCACCCACGAAAAAAAATCTGATAATTCTGCCTATTCCGCAAGACAACACTAAACAACACACCATCTCAGTT